GACTTTGATTTATTGGGTTTAAATACGCGGATTGATTATTTTGCATTATTGTCGGTATAGGGTCTCGATATTGACCTAAGGGTTTAAGATAGACTGCCTCGTTGGCCGAGTGGTCGCAAGTGCGACTGCCGGGCAAGGGGTCTCGGGTTCGATTCCCGGGTTGGGCAAAGTATTACTGGGTTTTTAAAAAATTCTCAGTAGTAGCACAGAGTCTGGAATCATCGCCGGTATATGGCAATAGGCTCATAGATACTCCCTTCGCAAGTGTAATACGTATTCGTAACTCGGTTGGTTGGTCTTTTTAGTTTGATTAGGCGTCTCTTACATTAAAGGAAAAGTCGTATATAAACCGAACTTCCAATTATTTTGAAATTCTTCAAATTTCAAATCACCTATCTGCCGACAGTTAGTATGGTAATACATATTATATTTAGAGTTTATAGAGTTTTAAAATGGAAATATATATTTGAACAATCTGCAATGCGATTTCTTGTAAGGAAATACACACCATTTTCCTTCCTTTTTAAATCTAACCACTATTACACAGTGAACGAACGTAGATATTAACTTGATACCCAAAACATCGTTTACCGCAAATTATGGCTAAAAAACATCAAACATAACCTTTTAATGCATTTTCAATCCTTTATTTTTCGTGTTAAGGTGTGAATTAAAATGTACAAATAATAAAAGTGTTCGGACACATTCCACAGAGGTTATTCTAACACCTACCTACTTATCCACACTTTATATTTTTAAAGTGGAATTATTATATAGCCAAAAATAAATACAGGCATAATAATTCATGGGACGCTTCGAAGTTTAATTTTGAGTACGTATCTACATTTGCGCAATGTCTATGTTAATATTTATGTATGTTATATATTATGTACCAATATATTAGTATTTATGACTGCTATTAACTATTTGTGACATATCAAATTACATTATCAAGTTGTATCTTGCCATTGTACTTTTTTTTAAAGATGTCCGACTGATTTCGGGGTACACCGGGCTTCATAAACTGCATTTACGGCAATCGATAAGCTCACATATACCTTAGAAATGTTTATTTATCTATCTAACATAAACTTACTCATCACTAACAGACTTAATCACAACGTTCTATTACAAAATATATGTAATTTTATTACCATTTTATTTGAGAAACAATTTTGTCTCTAGGGATTAATTAATTTTTGTTTCTATTATGAAATATAGTTCGTAAGCCTTTATAATGTGTTTGCTGTTCCTTTTAATAAAAAAAATATTTTTTAATCAAAACAAGCCAAACAATACGAATAGCACAGCGACATTTCTCATTTGCTTTATTCGTTCATTGTAGAGGTATTGAGTGAGGCTATTGTCATTCGCCGGGCTCCAATGGCGGACTGCGCTGCCAATTAATGGCAGAAGAAGTTTGAAATTGAAAATTTCCAATTATTTGGCACCGGTATTTTGATTCAAAAATCCTATTCAGAGCTTACTGCCACTACAATTGCGAACTATTACCTAAGTAGTTTTTAGTTAGATGTATTCGGCACAAATATAATACGAGTACCTACAGTACAATACCGCATTAAAGATGCTATTGAGGTTGACGTCGCGATGTAGTGCGTCGCGCTGCGATCATGCCGAAGCGATGTGTTTCCATGCTGTTGCGTCTACGGGCCTTCTTCAATGGCATTCTAAAGGTGTTTTCAGACAGATGAGACTTTCCCCTCTTACAACGGTGGATAAGAGTCCAGACACTGATCTCTTCATTTTAATTAAATCTATACTAACATTAGGCTAAATTGTACTACTACTAATGTGGATGTTTATCTGAAATAAATTATTTGAATTTGAATTTGAATAAATAGCCTTTTTTCTGCTATCGTTACGAGTTCCATAAAAGCAAACCTTTTTCACACTCGATTCCATACTTTATAAAATTACCAAAATCAAAAGCCCAATCGTAGCTACTATACTTTAACTGAATTTCAAACTCGATACCCGATGGTCAGCTGCCGTAAACACTCGACCAACGAAACACAAAGGTTGAAAACTATTCTATTTTTGGGAGTACTCATGTATGGAACAAAGGAAATTTATTTGTAAGCTTTTATTGTGTTTTATTGTCGTGCATGGAGCACTCGTCGGGTGTCCCTATACAAAGTGGAATACGGTATTTCAATATACATATAGGTATTTATATTGCATTTGCCTGAAAACTATCAAAAACAAAAAAATATATATATCCGATCGAGTCCTCAAAAAGAGCGTGGGTCCTTTTTTCAAAAAGCTAACGCACTTGTATCTCTGGGGTTGCGAGCATCCAGGAGTAGCATTGACCGCTTACAATCAAATGATACGTCTGCCGTTTTGTTTTCAATCCCGTAAAATCAAAATCCCTTTGACAAAAAGCCTGTTTTAAATTTTCTAATACATCCATTGAAAATTATTCCAAAAGAATGCAAATAAAATTGAAGAGCCTTGCATGACAATATTTCAGAAGGCTGAACACTTAACATCATTTGAAAGTACTGGCTTAAATGAAGTTTACGAGGCTTAACAACAAGACGAAATAATCCATCTATTTATTTTGCCTTTGTTTATGAAATATCTCTTTTTTGTTATCGCAGCGAGCGGCCATATTGGTTCTGGCTTGAACTAAAACAATAATTGACACTGTAAGTAGCAGATAATCCAGTGCAGCGAGGGTTCGGCCGGCCGTTCATTATCGAAACCGAACAGTGAACGATTTGGTCTTCATTTATGACACTTTCGTATTAATGTCGGTACTCTTTGTTTTTATTGTACCCCTCACTTGTTAAGTGATAAAAAGTGATACTGGGTACGGTTTTGGGGAATTATTTTATAGGAATTTATTAGGTTTTGTATTTTTGTAGCAGTAGGTAGTAATGCTACTACATACATAGTTATGCAGCTAGGGATGTGCCATAACAAGCCTTGCACCGTAGGGCCTTCGAAGCAGGTCCATTAGAGAATAGGTGCTGAGGATGGTCACTGGGGTAGTTTTAGTAAGGTAAAGTAATTACACTCCCTAGTCATTGTTCCGAAAAAGCTAGGCGAATGTTGAAAGTATCCTCACAATAACATCCAAAAAAAAAGTAGTAGTAGGGTAAATAAAATTAGGACATCAAAACTGAATTTTCTAGACAATTATAGCAATAGACTTGGCGTTTATTACGTGAGACTTGGCCCTTATTGTTATAAACACTGAATAATAACTAATTAAACTGTCAAACACCGCGAGGACACCGGTGCCCGCATACTATTGTTCTTTAATTGTTTCTATAATGACGGTACTCAAAGGGTATACGGTACTACTATCTAGTTTTGATTGGAAGGTTAGGTTAGGTCAATTTCTTTTTAATTTTGCACAATATAATGTACCTACACTGCTTGTATATGCAAGTAACAGCTATCGACATTGTATATGGCAAACATTTTTTTGCATTTTACATAATATAAATAAATCTACCTAACTCCGGTTCTACCTACCTCTACCTGCATAGTTAAAAATTAAAACTTTTATTGATATAGCATATACCTTAACCATGTTGACGAGATAATTGATGGAACGTGGGCGTTACACACACGCGAAATATTGCGCCTCTGCAAAATCGACAGCAAAATATGCGGTAAATAGCAGAGTACGAACCGCTGTTAATTAATCCGAGATTTTAATTGCAGTTTTCCATGTGTGAAGCGAGGGAAGTTTCACTATATAGTAAATTATGATACACGACGCCAATTTGTGTACCTTCGATACGCGGTATCAATTAGTAACGTTTCAATATTGCAGAGCCCCAAAAATGTTGTAGCCATTTGGCGGTTTATGAATTTAACGAATTCTTTTTGAAGTCCATCAGACTGACTAATTGTATATTCACAATGAGCATTGCACATGCCCCACGTCCATGTACAAGGCCTTCCCAACAGTAATTGAAGCGTATATGAAAATAATTAGGTGCAGCAGTAATAACGAACATGATAGGTATTCATTATAAGGATTCTGTAGCATAGAAATGGCTTTTTCATATTTTTATGGGGATTTAAAATATCCAATTATTGATAATAACTATCGTTAAACATACTAAATTTACTAAAATCGCGGGTTACTCACGTGAATATACTAAGAAAAGCTCTACTTTTTTCTCTTACCTACTGTTCTAAATTAAATTTAAATGAAACAGAAACAACCATTAAGATTAGTAAGATAGTCTTATTATTACCTATATGGGGAATATTGTTCCTCATCTTGGACCATAGCAATATTGAACAAGGTGCCATACGAGAACTAGTCGGACGGAAACACGAGACACCTTGACCCGTTTTAATTGAACTTGGGAATTGATGCGATCAACTTACTCTCACGACATGTATTTGGTATTGTTCATAGCTATGTTAGGTATAGGGATGTTCTCTCATATCCGTTAACATGCTCCTTCCTTCATAGATAAACATTCTCCATATTGTCTATACTAACATAATAACGCTGAGAAGCTTGTTTGTTTGCTTGCTTGTTTGTTTTATCGCGTTTATCTTTAAAACCAGTAAAGGGATTTGAAAAATTCTTGTTGCAACTGTTAGCTTTATTTTTGAGAATGGTTATCATTGTATATATCTGGGTATAGCTATCAATAATAAGCCTATGTACATACATGTCAGAGAATCGTTACATTTTGCTTTGCGCGACAAGCTCGTGATAGATGTATGAGCCACACATGTATACACGGCTACACATCGAGCTTTACATAACCAGTATAAACTGAACGTTAAATGTGCGGAAAGATGAAGCGACGCGACACCAGTGTAAACTGGTTTTGTATAGGTTGATGTGTGGCCGTGTGTACGGTGCATCCGAGAAATGTGAACCCTCTATTATGTTACTTATAATGTTAAAATTAACCAATTTCTATAACCTCGAGCATAAAACGAGAGATGTCAAGTTCAACATGAAGATTTTAATTGTCAATTCAATTTTGTTACAGATCAGTAGAGCTCCGGTACGAGTATGATACCGAATACAAGGGTATCCCGACATATAGATATGCAGCTAATGAGTGGCTTCTAGACAACGATGAAGGTTGCTTCTGTCTGAATCAAACGCGAGGTCTGAATCGGGAAGATGGCTGCCTCCTTAAAGGTGCAATGGAGTTGTACAGCTGTGTCGGTGAGTGTCTGAAATCACTTTCTTTAAGCGTTGCCCTATACTAGGATCTTCTCCTGCATCGTTGCTTATCAGACTGATACTATATGTTTGTAAACTATACTATCAGATACACATCACACACAAACCACCCCATTGGGGAAGCAGAAACTACAGAGATATCTACTAAGATCATGCTAGCAGGACGTTTAATCGGAGTATATCCCGTTTGGCTTTCGTATGGAATGTCACCGACTAAAACAGCCAATGATAGCATCCTCGACCGGTCATTGGTCCCCACCAGCTTTTAAAATCGTTTTATCGGAAATAGGTAAAACTTCAGTAATTCCATTCCCATCCATTCTCTCTCAGCACGCAATAATCGCTACAATACACTAGCGCCAATCGCAGACATTCTAAATCTATAGATTCTCGCATTTAAAATTCATCCTGACATTCGGAAGCTAACATCGATCTTCTATATTTGGATTTAGCGATACGAAACATTAGGCAGGAAAAACATTTAAGACTTCGTAACAAAGATCTTGGAATCTGAAATCTGTTTTCTCTTAAAATGGTACATGTAACATACATAATATATATGCAGAAAACGTCTATTTTCGCTCAAAATTGTACACGTAACATAGAGTACGTAATACATGTAGATATATCTAAAAAGAACACCGTTAATTTATACCTATTCTTACATCGAAGTCTCAACAATTTGGTACTAAAACAGCTAGCATGTAGTTACTATACAGTTACATAGATATAATAAAGTAAAGATAGACTTAATACGTATATTCCTATAAACTAGATAAAGAAAGACTGAATAGATAACATGCATAGGTACATTACAATAATTAAATTGCCTGATACCTATTTTACTAATTATAACATTACATTCATATCAAACAAAACGCCGTTCCTCTCTCCTACCAATTGTAAATTTTAATTTTGTGCCCGACAGGTTCCATAATTATTACTATTGCATTTTCTAACCACCTGTATGTGTACATTATGGATGCAATAAATACTTGATTACTTGATTATATATAAATGCCATGGGGACCTTTTACCTATATATAGTTTAAAATCATCTCTCTGCTACTAAAACTCTTCTCTGTTTTAACGTTGTGGTTGTGATAGTTGTCTACAACACTCGTTATAGCAGATCAATGTCTACCTTAATACTATCGCACTACATGAACTCACAATATTATATAATACTCGACACATTGAAGTTGTGAATCTTTAACATATTCAAGATCTTTATAAATGTAAGCCGAGAAAAATTAAAATACATCCAACAAATGCAGGTGTCCTCAACATAGACCTAAGTTCTGTCGTTTATCTATAACATTGCTACCGCCTTGGTTTAACCGCCACTTTAGTGAATACTTCGGTTTCAAGTGCGATCTGGTTAAAAACCAGAACGAAACGGGTGTACGGAGCGTCGCGTTTAGCGCGAAGAGCCATCAGACCGCCACAGATGGAGCCCAGTACGACTGATGCTAATACGGATCTGCAAAGGATTTAACGGGTTGCCGGAGCTAGGGCTTAAAGAGCAGAAGTAGGCAAGGGGTGGTTTTTAGTCAGTAAGACTCTGACACTCTCTCCTCACTCAAGGCGGGAGAAGTCATTGGATGATTTGGTTAAACAAAGTCACTGGGCGCACTAATAACAATAAAGAATTATAATAGACTTTCAGAATAAAGCATAAAGCATTTCATTGTACCTACCTAATTGAATAGTAATACTAAAATTCATAATATTTGCATTAACGTTCAAGATGCTGTAGTGCACTATTAAAATAATTCTCCATCTGCAGCATGGGCGAAGCAATTTTATTGTTATGAAAACTCTACTTTTTCTCTCAGAAAATATTAATCCTATGATCGGAGGAAATTGATTTGAGAAAATCACGAGATACGCCCGACCGAAGGCGAACAATATTAGCTAGAGGTACTTCGCTCGATTTGCATTGCATTTTACAATTTTCATTCTCTTTTAAAATGGTATTTGTTGTTATCGCCGTATTTCCTGCGATTGATTTCAATGCTGCGTTTAATTTATACAAAATGGGGTTTATATTTTATTTATTACGGTAGGTACAACTCCTCGTTCCTGTCTCGTTCGCCGAGTGATGGCAAGTGCGACTGCCGGGCGAGGGATGTCGGCTTGGATTCCCGGTTGGTCGGTCAAAGTATTACTAAAATTTCTCAGTAATAGCACTAAATAGTCTGGAATTGTGCCCGGTATATGACGATAGACTCTCCCCCTTTTACATGGGACTCATAACATAAATAGTGAAAAGTGAAAACATTGTATAGTCGCATTAAGTGCCGTAATGTGTAACTGTGCCTACCCTTTCGGGGATAAAAAGCATTATGTTATGTTAAGTATTACTGTACAATCACTATTACAGTGATTTGATGACTATTAAACTCTGGCTCTCAATAAAGTGAAAACTTGATAAACTAAGCCCGTTGCAACTATGCAACAACCTCGTGATCCTCAGATGACATTCAAAACCCACATTAGTTAGATGCATTTTAATAAATAGATAATACTCCATTGATTAGTCATTGAAATAACTGCGAAAAATAATGATTTCGATATCAAGTACACAACTGCAAAATTATTACAGTCAATTGACCACCATGGGGGCATTTAAATCGGAATAAAAGCATCTCAAAACCTAAGTCCTCCCATATCCTGCTTGTATACCAAATTTCATCAAAATTCGTCCAGTAGTTTCAGCGTGATTGACGGACTAATATCCAGACATGCAAATGCAAACAAAGAAACCTTACCATTATAATAGGTAGGAATGTGATAGAACTACCGTATATTCCTTGCGATAGAAAATATCCGATAGTTCTTCACTTTGTCACCAGCCTCCACCACCTATTTTCGAATGCAGCGCCAACAATGCATGTACACAAATTAAAGTATTGATTGAAACACAAACAATGGATGCAAATAAGCCTTTCATTTTAATAATAATTATTCATTATTGAAATTTGTTCTCATTGTTGAAGAGCGCTTTATCGAAAATAATTATAATTTCAGCTAGGTACTTGTATTCCTGTTAGGACCATGTAGATGAGCTTATTATAAATTTAAATGTAATACGTTTAACGCTGTGATAAATACCGATTTTAATGGGAAATAAATCCTGGATTAATTCTTAAAAAACAGAAAATTTTAATTGACTTAGAACCCGTTCTATTTAGTGTACCTACAATATTAGCCGTGAAAAGCCTTTCGCCTTATCGTTATACGTTCTGTCAAGAACACCCCGTCAGTCAGTGTCAGTCACCCTGTAGATATAAGTCATAAAGTCAAAATCATTTATTTCAATTAGACCAGGAAGGCACTTTTGAACGTCAAAACAGAATATTTAAATAATAAAGACAAAATGTCAGCGTGTAAGTCAGTCCTCTATTGAAGCTATTTGCTCGTCTCAAAGTATAGATACCTATATGGAGAAGAACGAGCAAGAAACTCCATACGTTACACTTTTTCAATCAGGTTCACAATACAATTTTTGGTTACATTGTTTCGTTGAGTTGAATTATGTGAGAACAATGTATCAAGAGAACAATCATTTTAAAAACGTCAAATTTAGCAATGCAAATATGCAAATGCAGTACAACCACATTAAAGGACCAATTAGGCCACAAATATTGATGGAAGCTTTTTCATTGATGAACCCTGTTTGTGCAAAATTTTGTATTCGAAACATCACGACGAATATGCAAGCGAAATTGCGGCTATTGTTTGAAAATGCGGTACAATCCACCTCACTGACCGAAGGTACAGTAAGGACAGGTCGTTGTTTTAAAATCCACCTCTTTGGTCGTAGGTACAGATATTATAAATCTTCATTATACTATTTTTTTTTTAATATTTAATGGGTTGACGTTGGACCACCATCTCGCCTGGTGGTAAGATCCTCGATGATGTGGTCAACGGTGGAGCATCTCGTCCCATAAGCAACCTATTCACTCGGGCTTTGAAGACCCCCTAAGTTATTCATATTATCCCTTCAGAAAATACAGACTCCGGTAAAGCATTTCACTCCTAAGCGGTAAATATAATACAGATTTTTGTGTTCTTCATTTTATCAAGGTAAACATACTTGTCATCTAGACTCTAAGGTAAACGTCAAACATTGTGTGTTCACTGTCGTTAATACATAATCGTTTTCACACTCAATAAATGTTTACTCAATTTTTTATACGCGGTCTCAAGAATAACACCTATGATTAAAGTGCACCTACTTGTTTTACTTTAATTCAAACAGTAGTTATCAGACATAAAACATAGAGTCCTTTGATTTGATTGATAGGCACGATTATTTGATAAGTAGATGTGATATATTAGAATTTACGAACTTAAGTTCAAACTTATTATTAGGCAAGAGAGGCCAACGGCGCACCTCTTGACCTGCCACGGAAATCAACCGAATGTTTACACACAGTGCGCGCACGCATGCACGCCGCCGTCCGCCGCACAACCTTGAAAAATTTTAACACTGATGCTCACTAATTCTTACGCTCCTATCGATTCATAATGAAGTCATTATACAAACGAAAATAAAACTAGAACTTAATATATTTTAGTAATAATACTCTTCTACAATGAAACAAGCCATTAGCAATTTTAAATATTGATCTTTATACTAGAGACGAGCGACGGCCGAAACCGAATTTCTAACGGATACGAAAATTCAAGCGTACTCGCAGAGCGCAGTTTGTCGAGCACCCATAGCGAGTATGTTTGCGCTGCGCCAGTGTAGTGGCGTCAAAGCCTTCCCAACCGCACTATCTCCTCTCCCTGAACCTGTTAATTTAGGTCAACACAAAAAGCTACCGCATGTGTTTGTTTTCGATAATTTTATGTGACATTGTTAGCAACTTATATTTTACGAGGCGCTAACAGCTAAAATTCTATGTCGTTCTTTGTGTCACCACCGCAATTAGGTTGTAAAAATAATATATCAACCAAAAATACGA